TGAGCAATATATCACCAAAATCTTTTTAATCTTATAATAATATTTTCAAGAACATTCTAAACCTTTGGAATTCAACAAGCACTTAGACTTGCATCACAACACCGACTCAATATCCATGTATATTAAGGCATCAATAACACATACTCCGTACTCCCTCCGTCTCAAAAAAGTTTGCTAATTTGACTTTTCTTGATCAACGACAATCAACTTTGATTAATGATATTTTTAATATGAAATTATTTTGAATATGAAAATTATATTAAAATCGTTATCCAAAACATGTCATCATTGACTAAAAAAAGTTAATTTAATATGACCAACTCTTTTGTGACGGAGGTAGTATATAATAATTCACTTTCAAAAACCTACTCTAGCTACAATTGTTTCATGCCCTACGCTCATTAAAATCTTACACAAAATATGACCTCTTTTACATTAGTAAAGTAGTTATTTATTGGAGAAAATTTTACTTTAGCATTGGGCATTTGATATCGCGCCTTGCGTGACGAAGCGCTAGTAGTAATATCATGTCATTTTTTTCAATCTTATTACCTTAGCTATCACATCATCGATTTTTTTCAATGCAAATAAACTATAGAGAAGCAAAGAATTGATCCAACGTCAACATTTTAAGTTATTTACAAAAATCATACCACATATTTAAGCCAAATTGCTGCATAGTTATCACTTAGAGAAATATGAAATTTTAAATTCAGTACACGAAAATCATTCCCATTTCTCATTTTTTATTTGTTATAGAAAAGTTGTCATAAGTAGGAGTAAAAACGTTTTAGAAGTCCAAAATAGGACTAACATGTTTTTCTCCTCGATGTAGGAGTTGTTACTGCGACGGTTGAAAAATAATGTCATCAATAACCGTAGATACTGACATTTTAATACCTAGCACTGCAACGACTCTGAGACTCCAAGATGACTGCCATGTTAGCCTTATTTTAGGAAGAAAAATATGAGTTATATTTTGAAATTCCAAAATTTGATCACTCATATTTCAAAAACTTTCCCACGCAGTAGGTAGTTCTATTTCATTATACTCCATATATGTTTGTATGCGTAGGCTAAAATAAGGTGAAGGTAAAGAGCAGCATTGTGTATGTGAGCGAATAGAAGACAGACCAATTTGCATACTTTTTGGAGCCGGCGGTATACTCATTAATGTCATTGTTGCTTTCATTGTTACTGTCGTTGTCGTCGTCCGATTGATCAGGCTCCAAATTAAACCATCTTGACATCCTTCAATGAAGCTACTGTTTCCATTATTATTGAGAGAAACAACAGCAGCATTCCACTTGCCCTTATCTCCCCTATTCCATCATGCATGTATATATGCAACAATTAATTCAAGAAATTAAACCCCACCAATAATACCGGTTTAAGTTTTCTGTATTTTTTGTCTTACTTGGTATGCTTGGTTCATTTGATAAATATCTATTCAATCAATTCCACTTTTGGGGCAATGAGTTTTATGTTAATTCTACACTAATTTAATGTATTTCACTTTGTCCACCTTTGATATTTGGCAATTGTTTCTTGAGTATCGGCTTCTTTCGTCCAATTTTTCAACGTCTGTCTTGATTTTGACCACCAAAAATATTAATAGAAGAACCATAAATGGGCGAAAACAATAATAATATACCAAAAGTTGTCAAAGACAATTATGTGAACCAATTGTGAAATTGGTGCGATACTAGTTAGATCATAAGTGGAATTTTTTCATGTCTATTTTATGTGTATTTTATTATAGACATAATTTGATTTAGTCTAATAGTAGTACAATTTAGTTTGTTTAGATCTACTTTTATAATTCTAATGAGTATTAATTACTTTGTCCATATTTTTTTCTTCATCAAAAATTTATTTGAAATGATGAAATGTTAGGTAGAAGTGGGTGGCACTACAGTACGCACCGGGGAATGATTGGTGACTGCCATTGATGAACAAACACCCAATGAAGGAAATGAGGTGACAAACAAGATGGTGACAATGCAGTTTCTAACAAACATATTCCTTGCAAGAAGCTAAGATAATTTTCTATTATATATGAAGCCAAGCATATAGAAAGTTGAATTGAGAGTCTTATTGTATATATACATTCCCACAATTTATGTATTGCATATAACTTACTTTGTCACTCTGAATGCGCGGACTATTTTGATCCACTAATTATATTGACCATAAAATTTACGATTAGGTACATCTAAAGTGGCTCTTCAAAGAGTCGAACTAAGGGGCTTCTTATGCTTGATTTGAACTTGTCAACTTACCCATTCTTGTAATCTTCAACTACCTATGGAAAAGGTAGGGAAGAGTTTTTCTTCCACTGTCTCATTATTACTTGTAATTGTTATTTAAGTATTAACTCTTTTAACTGAGCTTAAAGTCATAAAAACAACATCTCTCCCAAAAAGATTTGTTATATTTGATTTTTTTTGTTAGCTGTGTTAAAAAATGATCTTTAATTCTAATTGATACTCCGCATTACCTATGTTCTATTTGCAAGTTTTCATTCGAAAATGGCATAGGTTAAAGAAATCGTTAAATATAGTAAGTTGAATAAAGTGTGAGAAATCATTTGGCTGAGTATATGTGACAATGATATTTTTATGGGTGTACTAATTTTAGTATGTGATGATGAAGTTGTCATTTAGACGAGTGAATTATCTACCAAAATGGAATGACAAACTTGATATGTTTCTATTGATGTGCACGCGCAACCTTAAATGAAATTTAAGGATTTTCTTCAAATAAGACTAAAACATACGGAGTAGTTAAAAAGCACAAATAAGAGTAAAGTGTTCCTTTAAAAAAAAGAGTAAAGTGTTTTATTCCTAAAATGTGACTTTTTTAATCTTATTAAAAATATAAATTTCCCCAATTAGGAGCGAATGAGTCATACTTTAAAAAGAAAATAATTGTGATCATGTTTGTACATTTTGTTTGCATTTTAGGATGTTTTTATTTGGACTTCATTGAGTCCCATATTAGAAAAGACCAGACTTAAACAAATCATAGCAAACTTCGACAATTATAAAAGTCCCATAGTAGACATCTATCAGATCATATCAGACTTAAACAGACTACATCGAACCAAAAAATTTCAGTCCAACTAAAAACATCGTTAATCATGTTTTCAAAAATCGTTATAATTTTTTCATCGTAGAATATACTCCCTCATCACTACTTTTTCACTTTTAACATAAATAATCCCTACTGCAAAAGTTCACAACAATTGTCCTAACTACTTATTTGTTTCACAAAATTAAATCGAGTGCTAGCGGTGTTAAGTTTTCAATTAATTTTTTTAAATTTATATATATTAAAGAGAAAATACATATAAAAAATTAACAATATTATATCCGAGTTTAATCTTATTTCTACTATAAATTTAATTTAATATTTAATAGTTTTCATAAATCGTAGTAGAAAATTTGAACACTGCTTACTCATCAAATTCGCCATTACCTTTTACTCTTTATCCATATATCATTTATATTCATTTTTGTTATTCATTATAATAGAAATTTCAAGGTAGTTTTACTAATACTACATTAAATATCAATACAATTTTTGTAACTTATTCAAATTTCATAAAATGATATCAGTTATAATTTGAATGGATGATATACTGAAGTATCATAGAAAAATATATTTATAAATACACTTCAATTTAAATATATATGTTTTCATAAATATAAACATAAACATATTTCTTAGTATCTCATCTGCTTAAATTATAAGAGATATCTATTTATAAAATTGACTAAATTAAAAATAATTATCATATAATTTCTATTAATATTTAATGGAGTATTACTGAAACTACTTTGAAATCTCTATTATAATGAATAAAAAATGAATATAAGTAAAATATTGATAAGGAAAAAAAATATACGGTGTAATAAAGAATTTGGTGAGTATGTAATGTTCAAATATTTCTATTATATTTCATGAAAAATAATGAATAATAAATTAAATTTACAGTAGAATAATATTAAAATGAAATATAATATTGTTATACTTATACATATTACTTCTGTTCTTAAATAAATGCAACATTCAACTTTTCACATTTGCCTATGCACTACTTTGATCAATAGTATGTTTAATTCTATTTTAGTAAAAAAAAAATTAAAGAATTCAAATTTTGAAAAATTAGGATGAAACAAATTTAAGAATATATTTTTTAAAATAAATTTTTAATACATTAATAAATAAAATGTAATCAAAGTTGAACATGTGAATAGTGTAAAATTTCACATGTTGTACTTATTTAAGAACAAAGGTAGTATACGTTTGCTTGGATATATTTATAATTAATGGAAAAAACAAAAAAAATTACACCATTAACAATCGATTTATTTTTGTGACACAGTTAACTAATATGGATTATTGTTTTTAAGTAAAGGTAAAAATTATTATTGTCAATTTCTCCATACATGTTCCCTAATGTCTTTACTTGGGAGGGAACATGTTAAGAGAGTGTTCGTGATTGCTTCTACTTTAAAAAAATGATTTTTTAAAGTGATTTTGGGAAAAGTGCTTTATAAAAGTTGGTAGTGTTTGAAAAAAGTATTAGATAGAATAAATGTTTTTTGTGTAATTGAAAAAGTAAAAAACAATTTAAAACACCTCTCAACTTATTTTAATTTTTAGCAAACACTCCCTAACTCTCTTTGGGCTTGTTCAACCGACTAGATCAATAATTGCATGAAGTTGGATAATTTCAAGGGGACTACTTTTGGGCCTAAGAACTTCGTGTTCTGTTTTTTAAGCTAAACACCTTTTATGGAGCCGCGAGGTTTTAAGCTTTAAACACCTTTTACAGGGGGTTTCAGAATTTCAGCTGACTACGTGAAGCAGTTGGATTATCGCACGGTGATAGGGAGGATATATGGCAGTACCAGGGAGACCTAACGGCTTGGGAGATGAAGACGAAGATGACGATATATTCGTCGGAGAAGAAATGGAGTTACAACCACTTGATGCCAACACTTACCCTCACCTTCGCGAAGTTGCCATTGCAGCCGAGCACGGTCAGCTAGAGTCTCTTCGCCATGCCCTAGGTACTCTTTCAATCATACGCTCCTATTTAATTTAATTTTAGTTGTTTCCCTGAATGGAGAAAGGAAAAGGGAAGATCAAATTACTTTCTCAGCTGTATGTATTCCACTGTCATCTTTTAATTTGGGAGCACTGTAGTTGTAGTAGTGACATTGATAATTCGCTTAAGGAAAAATAACTTTAAATAAGACCAACTATTATCCATAAACCAATAATAATACCTAATTTGAAAATGATTTATAATAATACCAACTATTTGAATTTAGATAAAAAATAATGCGGAGTCACTTTTATACAAGAATTCCAGTCATTTAAGATATCAAAAAGTAAAATCAAATCATCAAATAAATGATATTTGGAAATATGAACTTATTTGATATTTTGATATTAGTTTTTGATGAGTTAAATGACTGATTTTTTGGTGAAAAAATGTTTTACATCACTTTTCATGTATATTCAAGCTGTTGGTATTATTAAAAGTTATTTCTAAAGTATGTATTATTTAAAGTTATTTTCCATTCGTTTAATTGATTGATTGACCTGGTAGACTTACAGAGTTGGTTGACATGGTTCAAGGTTTATAAAGTGCTAGTTAGAGTCTTAGAGATTACAAGCAATTGGCATAAATTATAATGATGACGAAAACAAATGGTGTTTTAGTATGATTTATGAACTCTTGTAAATTGTCAACTTGTTAAGTACTTGAGTCTATCGTGTTGATGTTAAAATTTAGAACATATATATGCATTGTACAAATCAGATTTTATTGTAGTGTGTTGCATAGTTGATGTGTAACACATACATTCAGAAGCAATGGGTGGCATTGGTATGACATTTGATAGCCGATAAAGTCTAAAATCATTAAAAAGTTAGTGTTCTACTATTGGAGTTATGTGAGATTGAAAAAGCAATAACACATCTTGAAAGAAGCCAAATAATCTTAGATTGAAATAAGTTGCAGGTATTGGAAGTAAAAGAGCTCTTTCCTGTATTTTTCAAAGTAAACCAACTCCTTGTTTTGTTTCTGTACGTCAAGGTGAAATATGAAAGTGGCAATGTTGAGTGCGGCTCAATTAGGCTAATTGGGCTTCAATTTCATGAATACAAATACGATTAGTAATTTATGTAACTCATTTGCTTCATAGTTCAATAGATGTAATAATTAAGCTATTCAAGAGTTGTACTCCTCGGGACAGATGTAAGGTTTGCATACGTATCACCCTCCCAAAACCCTACTTCCGAGTGGGACATACAGTGTGTTTGGTTTAGTCGTTAAGGTATTCAAGTACCTCATTCATAAGATTGGGCTCCTAAATCTAAAGCTAGGAGGTTATATGAATGTATCATGTAGTGCCCAATTGCTCATGTTCCTATTCTGTACGGTATGCAATTGGTTATTATTTAATATTTACAGAACTATTATATCTCCACTTGTAACTGCAGGCAACTTAAGTAACATTAATGAACCAGTAGAAGATGGAGACACAGCTCTGCATCTTTCCTGTTTGTACGGCCAACTCCCATGTGTTCAGGTTGGTCTTGCACAAAAGAACAATTGACCAGTAGGCTTGTGTTTTTCAAATTCCCTTTCTGAATTCATTTCTATTGATTGGAACATATTGAATGAAAATTCTTTTTCACATCCCCGATGCAGCTGTTGCTAGAAAAGGGAGCCTATTTGGAGGTCAAGGATGCGGAGGATGCTATTCCCTTGCATGATGCCTGTGCAGGAGGTAGGTTGTAATGTTTTTCTGCTCTTCAAGTCTTGAGTGCTAGCATGTATTTACAGTGTCTCTTGGTAAATTTTCAATAAAGTATAACCTAACCTCCGTATTAAAGGGCTCTCCATATAAGAATAACCTCTATATTTTGTAAAATATTATCATCCCATCTTGGTCCACCTTTAAGTTATACTCTCTCCGTCCCATTTTTCGTATATTTAAAGTGTACAACTTTGGAGAGAGCAAAGTGAAGGGAGAATATACGTGTGAAGGATTGATCTCATTTTATCTTTTTTTTATATTTTTTTAGCTCCGAGTTCATATGTCTATTCATGTTAGCCGACTCCAAACACTTTTGGAACTAACGCTTGATTGTTATTATTGTTGTATAGCTTAAAGTCTACAGTGTTAATATAAGTCTACAAATTATATTGACTTTTCTTTAAAGGAAATGCGCACAGCTCACTATCTCAATTAGTTCCACTTTAAAAATTTCTTTTTCTACATATAATGGTATTAGGGAGTTGCAGTGACGGAGAAAGAAAAACATGTTAGGGGCGTCATGAGATTGAATTTCTTGAGACAATACTTGAGTTGAATAATTCACATGTAGGAGAGATAAACTTTAGTTTAAGTAAGTGAATAAAACGTTATTTTTAAATTTGGAAATATAACTAATATATTACGTTATTTACGTATCAAAATTTACTCACTTCTATTTTAGATTATATTGATTTTCAAGGAGTAATAACTTTTGACTTGTACAGAGTTATGGTAGCCATAACATAATATACTCCATATCAAATAGAAGCTATTTTAGTGCTCTACATGCTCGAACTTTCAGGGATGTCGGTTGACTACCTGACCCTTTAGCTCCGCCCAATTATTATTGTTTGTTATGTAGTACTACCTCCGTCCCGGTTAAAGGTTCCCATTACAAAATGGCACAAATATTTAGACAATAATTAAATACGGCAGTTCGAGTATATTGTGAGAAATAGTTGTGACTTGTGATGAAATATAATATAATGGAGTCATTGATGACAACTGTGATGTTATAGATGCATTATTTTTAGTATTTGATGATTAAATTGTCATTTAAAATATTAATTGTTTCCTAAAATAGAAATGAGAACCTTTAATGGGACGTCCAAAAAAAAAGAGTGAGAATCTTAAAATGGGACAGAGGGAGCATTAAAGTTGATAATTTAGAAGTTTAGAATGCTGTGAAATATTTCTGCTAAAATCCATATTTAGTCCTAGAGGCTAGAGCTATTGTTCTCATATCGTTTTGGAATCAAAACTAAAAGTTCTAACATTATACAGAGTGGTTCTCAATCTTTATAATTCATGTTACTGTAGGCTATGTGTTAACTTTTTGCCTGTTTATTGGTGAAGTTCCATGTGGTGAGTCATGCATTGCCATGTGGTGTGCTATTAACCACACATTATCACACAACTTATCGTATAATTTAATTATTTAAATTGACTTATCCTTACAATTTAAAATATGTAGTATATTATTATACATACAGTTGTAAATATATTAAATATGGATTAGTAGTTGTTACCGACTCAAATGCACATTATTTTGACAACAATTAGGGGTGTTTGGAGTTGATTCTGCTTCTGTTTCTTTTTTAAAAGTAGAAGTAGAATCGGACAAAAGTTGATCTCCCAGCTTCTTAAAATCGGTTTCTATGAGCAATTTGGAACTCTCAGAAGTAATTCTGCACTTTCATCCAAACACTCCAATATCTGTTACTGCTACATGAAGGATCAGAAGCAGTTTTAAGAATTAGATCCCAACACCCCTTTAATTACATTTGCAAGACATGTTTTTTTATATATTCAAATACATTTTGAATTCAAAGTAGATTTATGTATGTGTTTGTGATCATAATTATGTGCTACTATAAAGTAAATTATATTTACAAAGTAAATTTAAACTTTTAGTAATACAATAATATCATGTGGGATGCCACATGATTAATAGCATGTCACTTGGTAATGTGTGGCATGCCACATGTAAATTAAAAGATAAGTTGATGTAAGATTTTAACCAACATAATATGAAATATAAAGTATGAAGACTAAGGATGGTTTTAATTGCATTGAAGTTTTCTAGTTTTATATGATATGGTCTGGTCTGATATGGTAGATGTTTGTTCTATGTGTATTTTACAACTATTGAAGTCTGGTCTGATCCAGTTTCGGACCAAAACTAATCCAATAGTTAGAACTTCTCAATTGACATATAATAAGTTTGTTTGATCTCAAGGATGTTGTTATATAGATGTTATACGGTATAGCTATGTGCAGGATTCACTCAAATTGTACAGCTTCTTATCAATAGTACTAGTGATCCTACATGTGTAAAGAGAATGTTGGAGACAGCTGATGTGGAAGGTGACACAGTAAGTCCTTGATGATAACTATAAACGCAAGGCATTATTAAGTCACATGTTATGCAAATAGCCTAAGATGTTCCCAAGTCAAATCTTCAAAGCCTCATTTTATGTATTTCTACAACTTCTTGCTTGAGCTTAACACTTGTACCTTTACGCATTGTGGCTTTTCTTTGTAGCCTCTACATCATGCTGCTAGAGGCGAGCATGTAGATGTTATTAGGTTGCTGCTTGCTTCTGGGGCTTCTCCTACCAAGACGAATGTGTATGGGAAGGTAAGATCATAATGGAAATGCCAACTGGATTTTGTTGCTTAGATCTGCAAAATTTTGACCGTGAAGTGTTTACAGACCCCTGGTGACCTTGCTGAATGTGACACTGAAGCTAAGAGAGTTTTGGAAGAGGCTGTGATAGCAATGCGTGGCTGCTAAGTTTTTGGATTATATCATGAACGTGCTTTTTGAAATCATCTTTGACCATATGATTCTGATTGTTGTTCACTTTGTGTACTTGGAATGTTTTGTCTAGTGATTTGCAAGTATGACAAACTTAATGTGTACCCTCAGTTTGCCTTTGCTCTTATACAGAACAACAGACTGGAGCTAGATGGTGTTCCCCCTCATTTACATCACAAACAATTTATGGTTTCATTTTATTTTATTTTTTATTTTTAGTGTAACCAACTTTTTTTATACATCAGAAAGGAATGTGTAACCTACTATTATCCGGCAAAGTTCTTAAATTTAGCTGAAGAAAAGCAGATTCTTATGAAACCAAATTACTCATTTACTTTGATAGTTTGATCACTTATCAATGAGAACACACAAACACAGTTTAGGAGACATGATTCTATCCACAGCATCCACTGCCAGGTTGAGTCTGGTGTTCTTCGTGCTTAAAGCTAACAATTTTTCCCATGGCAGTTTCATGTTCATGAGCATTAGGCACTTCCAAAATCTGGAAGACGAACAGATTCATCAGCAGAGCAATTTTTTAAGAACTGATTTCAGAGAGGTTACTCTTTGCGAGTTTGTGGCAAGTACGTGAGCTGTTGGATTTTTTTGATTCTAGACCATATCTAAACCTAAACCTATCGATTTGGACTAGACTTTAACAATTCAAATTAAACTGGATAACATCCCTAAGTGGCTAAGTGCTACCTGTAAGGCGAGATTTTCAAAGCAAATATCAACATTTTCTCGAGTCTTAGCACTGCATTCAAGAAATAGGCCCCCAAATTTTCTTGCCAGAGCTAGCCCTTCTTCAGTACTCACTTTCCTTTCGGACTCCTGAAAGTACATGATCGCGACACATAATCAGACTTCCAATAAACACATGCACAAGAGTTGGTGTGGGCAAAAAGAAATATTCCCAGAGATCACATAATTTAGATACTGTTTGTTAGGTCTTCCACATATGCTATGCGCCTATGCCTAGGGCACATTTAAAGGAGAGCACAAATACATTTGAGATGGTGAGAAGCATTTTTTTATTCCAAGGGATGCCTAGGCACTAAGTGCCCCTCGTTACCCCACCTAAAGGCCCCCCATCTATAATAACACTTTAAAGATCCGAGAAGAGTCCTCCAAACCCCACTTAAAAGGGGTCCAATCGTTTTGGCTCCAGGTCTTCCCGGTTTCCATTACTATTTTGGATAGGATTGTTTCGATCTGTCGTATCTTTCTATGGGGTGGTAAGTATGCCAAGGTGACTTGGGATGACATCTGTCTCCCTAAAGAGGAAGGGGGTCTGGGCATTCATAATGCCAAGGTGTGGAATCACGCCCTCCTCGCTCGCACCCTTTGGGACGTTCACATGAAGAAAGACACCCTTTGGGTGAGGTGGGTGAACGGAGTCTACCTTAAGGGTAGGACCGTGTGGGACTTTGTCCCACACACCCGGGACTCACAACTCATGAAGCGATTGAGTCTCATTCGGGATAAGATTCGGAGTTGCTTTAATAATTTGAATGATACTATCTTAGGCCTTAAATCTCGTACCACTAATGGAAAATTAGCCTTCGCTAAGATCTATGAATTGTTAAGAGTCAAGGGTGATGTTAGGACTCCTATGAGTTTCATATGGAAATCCTACATCCCCCCAAAACTCTCTTTTAACGTGTGGTTGGCCTTGAGAAACCGACTTCCTACCCAAGATAGCCTTGGTTATCTCCACATTGTAAACAGATGCGACTTATGCAAGGGTGGTTTGGAGACAATACCACACCTCTTTTTCCTTGGCCAATTTCCGTGTAGGATATGGCAGCAGATAAGGAATTGGATGGGACTCGGGCATGATATGACAACGTTGCTAAGTGCAATTAAGTGGATCACAAAGACTCATAGAGGATCGAAGATGAAGGCAAAGGCTGCTCGTATTGCTTTTTGTGTGACAGTTTACTACATTTGGCATGCAAGGAACGAAGTTAGATTTGATGATGGCAAGAAGACGGAGGAGGACATTATAGCAAAGATCAAACATGTGGTTTACAAGATACTCTTTAGTATCTACCCGCATGATCGAGTTGGTCACCTTTTGACATGGACGTTTTGAAGCCTCGGCTTTTATGGATTTGTGGATCTGTGTGCGTGCAGTCTTGCAGCATCGTTTTGTTTCTGACGTGTTGGGGCATTTAGTATTGTATACTTAGGCCCCCGTTTTGATTTTGATTTTGGATTAGATCAAATAAAAACCTCTCCTAACCCCTACATTAGGTAGGAGTGGTGGGGTTTTAGGAGATCTTGAACCTTTTCATGTATATTTTCTTGTGTGTTAATATATATTTACATTTCATCCAAAAAAGGGGGAGTAATTACTTACTTGGTCCTTTTTGTTACCAACCAACATTTTCACATAGTTCTGATCACTTGAGTAACTTTTTATCTCTTCTTCCCAAACACCAGTAAGACTTTCGAAACTCTCTTTCCTAGTGACATCATAAACTGTATAGAAACATCTAGTATAAGAAAGAGGTTGAAGTGCTACAATATAATGGGTGATTATTTTTGTTGAGGGTTATGGGATAAAGAGTTTAATACGTGATTGTGAAGCAATCAATCATATTTTATCCACTTTATAAATTTGGAAAGGTAATAGATTAATATGTCTCCTGTAGTAAGATTTCATCTACAATCCCCTCCACTCAAACAAATCCCAAGTGTTTAATCACGTGATACCTACCAAGAACAATTCCCTGGGCACCTCTGTAGAAACTGGTGGTTAATGTCCTGAACCTTTCTTGTCCAGCTGCAAAAGAGACAACTTTTTTTAATTCCCAGGCAGAGAAAATGGCAATACCATGTTGCGTTGAACATGCATGAACAAGTTGATTCAGTTATTGTATTCCATTAACGCAAATTGGACAAGTGACGTTCATAAAATAAAAATTGCAACAACTTATACTACGTACATCCAAAGTCTCATTAACTTTTGTCAACTTTTCTTTTTGGATTGCCCTAAAAGCGATCACTTTTTCATTAAGTAATTAATTTGTAGTTTTGCTAATTACTCTCTCCTCAACACAAAGTTCAACCACAAAATCTTCACATTTTGTACTTCTACCTAATCCAAAGTTGATAGTGTCCAATGAGACGAAGATAATATATAATTAACATGAGAACGATGCAAACAACACTTTTAATCCCATATGGTGCACTATAAAGTTTGTACCTTAGCACTTTTAATTCACATTGACGGAATATTTATGAAATTGCTACCACATTTATTTGAATTTGGTATGTTTTTCCTAAAGTTAAAAAAGTGCTCATGTTCTTATTATGTTAACATCATTCTCATTGGAACTGTACCGTACATTTGTGTAATGATAACCCTAATTCGCGATCAGGTATGTAACTAAATAGTTTTCCTATGAAATAAGTGAGTGCATGGTAACGAATTATTAAATAGTCAACTATTTATTAATCAACATATGAAGTGATAAATTAATATAATACTTTGCAGATAATATAGCAGGATCACAACCAGAGTACTATTACAACAAACAACAACATCCAAAGCTACTAAATAAATACAAATTTTTTAGGGATAAGGGTCAGATAGGGCCTCGAACTCGAAAAAAAATGTCAAATAAGGTCATATTTCGGATGCTCTGTCTGGCCGACGCCATTTGGGGCGGTTCCCGATGGAATTTTTTGATGAAATTTTTTGAGCATCTTCCTCATTAAGTCTAGTTTACCCATACCAAATTTCAGCTAAAAACTCAACCGGGAAGGTAGTCAAATGAATTTTTGAAGATAACTGTGAAGTTAAACAACGCCGTACATTTCGGAAAATTATTTGACTACCTTCCCGGTTGAATTTTTAGCTGAAATTTGGTATGGGTAAACTAGACTTAATGAGGAAGATGCTCAAAAAATTTCATCAAAAAATTCCATCGGGAACCGCCCCAAATGGCGTCGGCCAGACAGAGCATCCGAAATATGACCTTATTTGACATTTTTTTTCGAGTTCGAGGCCCTATCTGACCCCTATCCCAATTTTTTATAAATAAACTATCTACTTTCACTTTATGAATGTCCCAAAATTAAGTTCCTTTTCTCTATTTGGTAAATAAATTTATACTCGGTATTAGTTAGCTCTACTGCCCTTAAATAATAATGATAGCACAATTTTAAAAGTTTTCAAACATGTAGAAACAACTTTTTAAGCTTGGTGAGACTCCAAATTCGATGTTTTTAGGTACGTGGATGTATAGAAGGTAATTACCTGTGTCCCAAAATATGAGCTTTAGTTTTTTCCCGCCAACTTCGAAATACTTGATGTTGAAATCAACACCTGTGCATAGTCATCTCCACTGAGATCATCATTCATAATCGGAATTGGTTAAGGAAGAGAGAAGATATTGAGCTTATGTACCAATGGTGGGAGCAGAAGCGTGAGTAGGGGCATCTGAAATGAAACTGGCGATAAGGCTACTCTTCCCCACGCCAGAATCTCCGATCAACAATATCTTAAAGGACCGGTCGTAGTCGCTCTTTCTGTTGCTGCTCTGTCCGGCGGCCGGCGGTCCCATTAATACTTGTGAGGGAGCTTTCCACCCCTTCACATTTTTCAATATATAGATACATAATAATAGCATATATACACATGTACGTATACAGGGAGGGGAGGAAGGAATAGAGGATAGCTTTGTCTTCACTCTTGAGCTAAGCGGTTTTTTCTGTTATTTTCCTTCTCGAAATTTGGAAAATAGACTTCCAGATTCTATTCCTTTTTCCTGGTGGAACCAGCTGATGGCTTCGGAATTTATTAAGGTGAAGGCATGCCATTATTTTGAAAAACAAAAAACAAGAAATAAGTCTAATTAAGGGAAAACTATCTAACTTATAAGTCAAAATATGCTCAATTGTGTCATTAATCCCATAACTTTGTGCATCAAACTAAAGTATACTCCCTCCGTCCCATTTATTTTGTCCCATTTTACCTTTTCGGGAAGTCCCACTTATATTGTCCCATATCATATTTGGCAAAGTTTGTGTGGCTCTAAATCATTCTTACTTTATTCTTACTTTATCAATTAATATCAACCACACAAACCCACTTTTCTTAATAACCGTGCCACCCTCTTCCGAGACAATATAAATGGGACGGAGGGAGTATGAGTCTTCAAAAAAAGATTTTTGAATATCTCAGTAGCCATGAAACATCTTTCTACTACACAACTCATTCTTAAGGAATTGACAGAAAATAGATGGGAATGTTTTATTGAAGAAGTAAATGAGTTTTTCTCAAAAAATAAATTCATGCACCAGACTTGAATTCTAATTTCTAAAAATATTGTTGGTCATTGCTAAAAAGAAACTACAATTGAGAATCATTATCACTTTGAGGGTTTTCAATGAGGTAATATACTTTTATTCATGGAGTTAACGACCCGGTTTAATGATAAATCAGTGGAACTCCTTTCTTTGAGTGTTTCATTTGATCCAAAAAATTCATATGAGTTGTTCAATGCCGATGCTATTTGTACTCTTGTAAGGAAGTTTTATGCCGAAGATTTTAGTAGTCAGGACATTCGTGCTTTGAAATTCGAGCTGCAACACTATGTTCATGATGTGATTCATGATACCAAGTTTCAAGTATTTACACTTGTTGAATTATGTGAGGAATTAACTAAAAGCAAAAGGTCTGATTCATATGTTAAGATGACTAGATTGATTCACTTTGTATTGGTCTTATTGTTTCTACTGCAACAGTAGATAGAATGATCATTTTCTGTCGTGAAACTTCTAAAGGCAACACTCTACAACAAAATGGATGATGGTTTTCTTGCTGATTGCATGACACTTTACATTGAAAAAGATATTACTCTCAATATAGATGTATACTCTATTGTTGATGAGTTTTTTTTGTTTCAAAGCCTTGTCTAGAACAAATTTAGGGGATAACTTTTATATTTGAATTTTCGCTTATTTTGAAAAAAAAAATCAATGTATTATCAATTAAATTTTTCAGCCCAGCCCAACATTAAATCCTGGATCCGCCCCTGATGGCTGCAATTCAAAATTTAGTTGGTCTCAGTTGTACGAAGGAAGGCGAAGGGAGAGAGTTCCCAAGTTCTCTTCTCTGGTGCGGGAAACGCAAGAAAGAAATAAGAGAGGGAGGAAGAAAAGAAAAACAAATAAAAAAAGAGAAAAAGAAATTAAAAATCCACATGGAGTCATGGACAGTCCATGTAAGCGGATAACTGGGAAACTTGCTCTTTATCGGTCATACGGCTTAATTGAGTGTTTTTTATGAGTTTGAGGATTCAATTGAGTGATTCTAAAGTTTGAGGACTTCATTAACTTTTTTGACATAGTAGTAATACTTATTTAACAGTTTTCCCTCTAATTAAACACATTGTAGCCTAAAAATCTCGACAAATAAACACATTTGGAAGATCCAAATGTTATGTTTCAATGTCTATATGTCATCATCAGCATTCAGCTTCACAAAGTGTATATAGGCTTTCACCCTATTAGAATACATTTTTATCTCTGAGATTGTGTGAATGAGTGTGAATTGTGATCCATCTAAACCTATATGTTGGCTTTAATGACCCTGTAGCGCCAAAATTGCCCAACATAATTGTATTGAAAAAACTAGGCACTTTTTGTGTACACATTTTATAGTTGTTTGTGTACATGAATAACTCATTTAAAACAACTATTCAATTTGTCTTTAATTGTACAAAATACATAATATTTGTAAGGGTGTTGCAGTACAAAATAGTAGTAATAACAAGGGGTTAGATCATGAAACTTCTTTTAATATATACCAAAAACAAAATTGCTATTGGTACCCCCAAATCCTACCCCATTTTGTACCCCCTCCCTAGTTTTGTGGTTAAAAAAAAGCAATGAATTAAGTGGGGCAATTATTTTGTGGGGTTGGGGTTTTGTGAGCCACTCATATAGTGAGGTACAAATGGGATATCCCATTTTGGGTACCTCTAGCATTTAAAGAGACTATGCCCGACTGCCCGTATGTCATTAATTTTTTTTTTTATCAAATATACCCCTGCTGGGGTGCAACCTAATGGGCTAATGAATACCAAGTACGTACTAATAAAATTGCCCTTTCCTTGCTCAGTAGCTCCACAAAGTTCTACGGCCATTTCCATGGTAAAAAAATTGTATCATTTTTTTATCCGGAGTTACGGTTATCCGGTCACGATTTATAGTTACTTTGACTCGATCAATTACAATTCCACATCCGATTACAGTTACTGGCCTCAGGGACGGATCCAGGATTTCTATTCAAGGGGGGCGAAATTTTTCGGTAGTGTAGGGGGTGAAAAAAATTTCGTTAGTGTAGTGGGGCGAAATTTTTTCCCCTAGTGTAGCGGGGCGAATTTTTTCCGCTACTGTAGGGCTATGCGGCTAATTTTATTCAAAAAATGACATTAATACATACACATCCCAAACGAAATTTAAATCTATTAAGTTGTACATTCTAAGTATAATTTAGAATATGACAAAGATATCAACCAATACATTTTTAATAACTTCTACATTGTTTAACCTCGTGAATCGGTTATTATTGAATTGTATTTTTTGTCCGGCCACCAAGGAGGGTGTTCGTGAGTCATGACTCATGAGATCAGAAGTTTTCTTAATATTACAATAGTAGTATGTATGATATTATTATTTTTAGAATAGTATGCACCACATACACACACACATATATTGTGAATATTATATTTTAATATTTGTATTAATGCTATAATAATTTAAAGTTTATTATCTATGCAATAAATTATTTTTAGAAAGCAAGAAGTAAATGAATTATGTAATTTAATGTCAATAAACATTTATATTTTGGATTCATTTCACGTGATCTAAAAACTGTGTAATTAGTGTGTCTGATATTTAATATTGTTTGATATATATTTTACAAAATCAAGTACTTGTTATCTAATAAAAATAATTAAACATTACAAAACTAGGAATTCTTATATAATAAGTATCCTAAATCTTAAACAATGAGTTATTCTATTGTTTATTTGTTTAAGTTATGTAATTATTTTAGATGTTCCTTCTTTTAAATCTTCAATTAAGTATTACATTATGTAACACTATATATTACTTTTGAAAATTAAAAGCTAAGGGGGGCGAATCTAATTAAATTATGAAAGTTTTATGAAAATATTACATATATGGTAGAAAATTTTGAAAGTCCAAGGGAGGCGGTCGCCCCCCCCGCCCCCCTAAATCCATCCCTGACTGGCCTGGCCAGTTAAAGTTACTTGCCGCCAATTACAATTATCCGACCAGCTATATAATTTCTCGACCCATGAATTACAGTTACAGAGTTACCCGACCTAACCAATTACAATTACTTAATCCACCCAGTTACAGTTACCCAATTAGTCCAGTTATAATTACCCGACCCCCCAGTTAAAGTTACTCGATCCGTCCAGTTATAGTTACCCGACTCCCTTGTTACAGTTACTCGATCCGTCTAGTTACAGTTATCCGATCCGTCCAGTTACAGTTACCCGACCCGTCCAGTTACATTTACCCGACCCGTTTAGTTACAGTTACCGACCCGTCCGATTATAGCTACAGTTACGTAACCCGTCCAGTTACCATTACCAACTCGTCCAATTACCCCTAAACCACCGCTGGCCACAGCCGACAACCGCCCACCACACCCCATCCCAATGCCTCAATCAGCCCTCTCCCCTGGTCACCCTACTACCCCCCGCCGCCGCCGCCGCCTGCATCACCCATCCCCCAGCCCCTGCCTCACCACCGCCCTCTGCCCCTCCGGCACCACCATGCCTGCCCCTCCTTCTACTGCTCTGCCCCCATCACCACCACCCCTCCAGCCTCCCTAGGCCACGGCTGTCGTTGACCGCGAAAACCTAGCCACGAAAACCAACAACCGCATAACTCTGGATGCGGCCGTCGATAACCCAGGAACCCTCGTTGCCGACGTCTGGAGTCCTCATCGCCGTTATTGCTTTCAAATCGCATTCGTCGATTCCACCATCAAATTCTTCACCTGCAGTCCTTGATTCCGCCATCGCCTCCATCGACTTGAGATGGAAAATGGAGAAGGAGAAGGAGAAGAGTAAAAGGCGGCGGCCTGGGGGAGGAGGAGGCGGCGGCGACCTGGACGCAGAGGAGGTCATCGTCGATCTGATCTCCACATAGGTAATTGCGGAGTGAGTTTGTTGCACCTCCGGTGGTGAAGCAACGGAAGAGATGGGCGGCCTGAAGAAATTTGGATCTAGCAGTTTGGTGCGGGGCTGGAGAAAACGAAAGAAGATGGATGGCCATTTAGGTTAGGGGGTATTTTAGACATTCTATACTATCTTTAGTCTTATATTTGTCCAAAATTAAAATGGGTCCTTCACTCCTTCTTCTGTCCATAGAAAGTGCACTGATCATACGTCCGCCATTTTTTCTAATAACAATCTTAATGTGAGAAATAATATCAGTCTGACTTAATATTAGTGTCTGATGTAGAGTACGATTTTGTTCACACTTCTTTCATAAGGGTGAACATAACCCTCAGTTCCTGTCATGTGGGTAGACGTTTTTTGCAAACTGCTA